TCTTTTTTTTTTTTTTTTTTTGCAACATCCATTAATTTGAATTTTAACTAATACTGGTACATCAGTTTTGGGGAGAAAAAAGGCAGTACTGTGACATTTCAAAAACAAAGGCTACCAGAATACAGTCTGACATAATTACTGGGGTTTCTTGGATTTGATACATTAGACTCCTTTGAGAACGGAAAAACAATAAACCGTTGTGCAGATATGCCTGAGTGCTTTTCAAATGTTTGGGGAAATATTTTTAAATTCAATAAATGATTGCTCAAATTCTCACTGACAAAAGAAATCTTATTTCCTTAACATTTTGAAGTAAAGTTACATTAGCATCCCTCTGCAACTTAGTAGCTCCTGAAACTTGGAAGGTTCATCTGTAGCATCCAGTTTCTGCACTTGGCTCCTGGAAGAGGAATTTCACAAAGGAGGGGAAACTTTAAATGCAATTCCTTTTCGGCTGACCTTGCGCACTGGATAGTGTGTTCAGTTTGTGCTTCAGACATTTTTTTTGCAGGATACTGTACTGTGTGGACATTCCTTCCTCCCACAACTGACTTTACACACCTAAATCGCCACTTCCCAGCAGTTAGGTTGTGAACAGTGAGAGGAACAAGTGGCCCACTGAATTGCAATTTACATGTTTCCTCAGCTGAATGCAGTGAACTTTGTCTTCTCCTAAGAATGGAAAAAAGGATACAGGATCTTTTGGAGTAGAAGAGGGCTGTGTGTTAAAAACCTTTCTCTAAACAAAGTATGTCAGGGACCAAAAGTGGGCAAGAGGGAAAACGGAACTTCAACGTGTTCTGTCTTTTAACAGGAGAACTTATGCTTGTAAAACACATCAGAAGTACAGTGTTTGGTTCTGCAAGTCATTTCTGTCACTGTTTTTTCCTTGTACTTGTAGGAGAGGGGAGACTGGGGGCTGAAGGAAGTGTTCTCTCCACCATGACTGGGCGTGTTAACACGTTTGCATCAACTTTTCACGGTCAGGCATGTGCTTTCGAACAAAGAACAGTGGAGACAAGGAGAGGAGACTGGGTATTGACACACTTTACAGATTTGGTGCTTAAACAGTACTTTACAAATGACTTGCTTAATTTAAGCGTCCATCACCATAAGAGATACAGGAGTAAAATGAGAAAATTGGACCTATTTGTACCACAATCTCTTGGGGGAAGTGGGGCAAAGGGGAAGGAGAGCATTAACTTGAATGCAAGTATCATAAACCAAATTCAGTAACTTTGTCTCCTACAAATGGACTTGAAGTATCCACTTTCTTCAAAGATGAAGGCTGGGGGCAAAGCAATGAATTGGAATAAGATCAGGATACCAAGGGCTTGAAAACATATGGGCCTTTTACTCAGGTTTTTGTCATGTTACAGTACACTTTTTTTTGGAGAAAACTGTGTACGTCATATTTTAAAAATTAAACATCAAAAGGATGTGCAACTCTAAAAGGGCTCAACAGGGTTAGAATCCTGATTTGAACATATAAATTCACTCTCTCAAGCATCACTTTGATCTAAAGGCGAGGAGGAAGGCAGGCAGGAAAGGGACAAAAAGAGGGAGATAATTGAATTACTCAATAAAAGAGGCTACTTACCATCCCAACCCATTGTAAGACATACACTTCTGAAATAAGAGAACTCCTTAGAGGTCGAATAAAGCGTGTAAGCACCTTTGAGTAATGCACCTGCCCCCAAGAGGGGGCCCGGAAGCCCAACGTGGGCTTAGCGGAACAGACCTTTGCTAATCTGTTTATTTCCTGGAACTGGAGTCAGGCTGCGATGGGCTGCGATTCCCAGGACGATACATTTAATTAGAACAAAACAGAACAAAACAAAAAAAAAATTGTTGTAAAAGCTCACCAAACTGCTGCACTTGTGTCTCTGAATGTGGGTGGCATTTCTTTTAAAAGGCAAAGTAAGGTCTGTGAAGGAGAAAGGGAAAAGGGGAGGTGGGAGTGGGGAGAAGGGGCCGTGGTGCCTGGCAGAGAAACCCTAGCTAGGACCCCAGTCTAGGGGAGGGTCCTCAGCGACTCCCCTGGCCGGGCAGCGCCTAGGCAGACATCTGCCCAGTGCGTTCTCTTCCCCTCCCCACCCCCACTCCAAGGCTCACTTTCCTGCCAGCTGAAACCTTCCATTTCCAAATCCACTCTCTAGCTACCGCTTCCCCTGTCCCACCAGGAAAGGGTGGGCGAACCCTGCACCCCAACCTTGTGCTGGAGCGGGGATACGGGGCGCCAACTTCGCCCTGGAACGTGCGGGGCTGGGCCCTTTATCACCGTCCAGAGAAGGGCGTGGGGCGAGCCCATTTCGCACTTAATAAACGGGAAAGGGGCGCTCCCTCTCGCCCTGTGCCAAAGCACAAGGAACCCTCGTTTTCTGTTCCGGAAGGGATGGCGCCGCATTTTAGCCCTAAAGAGGAGGGAACCCCAGGAGAAAAAGGGGGCCCACTTCCTCTCCCCTCCAAGGAAGGGAAACCAAACCTCTCCCGCTCCCCCCCCCAAAAAAAACCCCTCATCACCTACCTAAGAAAACCCGAGAGGACCCCTCCCTTTAAGGAAAAACAAGGAGGCAGGGGCTTCCATCAAAGGGGCTAGAGATTCCTCCCACCTCTTTTGCCCTCTAGAGAATAGCTAGGAAACACCTCCCGCCAAAAAGAAAATAGTGCAAGGGAGCCCCCAAGGAAGGACCCCCCCAGGAGGATGGAAAAGGACTGAACGAACCCCCACTTTCTGCCTCCTAAGAAAGGTAGGATACCCTTCCAAGTAGGGCAGGACACACCTCCCCCAGGAGAAAGGATACTGCCGGGGACTGGGAGACCCCCAACTCCAAACCCCTAAGAGCGGGGCTGTTGCTCGAGATTCTCCCCGAAAAAGGGTCCAAGGGGCCCCTCCCCCATCCCCTTCCCTGAAGCCAGGCGACCGGCAGGCGGGCCCGTGGCTGCCAGCTCCGGGCGCAGGGGCAGCCTGGACCCCCCGTGGGCCTCCGGCGCCCC